GATCAATTAAATGCCAAAATCAATTATTCCAAGTAGGAATTTCCAACTCTCGAAAATGTTATTGGTTCGATGTTTTGGTGTTATTATTGAACTTTCCAAATAATTTCGGTTGGTTATACATAAGCTTATTTAATTTTTATTTAAAATTCATTACTGTATAAGTATTATATAATATTACGTCAAATATTTAAATCACGTTTTATATGAGATATAGGTACACTTATTTACGCATATCCATTATCCATCGACGATCGTTAACAATTTTTTTCTATTTTTCATTGAAGTAATCTGAGATTGCTAATCTCCATTAGAACTAAGCTTTATGGATATAAACTAATACACGCACTATAGGTCACTAATGTCAATAACGTTTATCAAATGAAAATTGAAATCGATAATATTCATTATTGTTGATAAGATGCTGGGTACTTAATTATTATTAGTCACACTTCGAGCTTTGAAAAATAGTTGTTCAATGTTCATTATATTATATATACAATATACTAACCTACCTATTATCTACTCTGCTTGAGTATGAATGTAGTATTTCAAATACTTTTAAAGTACCTACTTCAATAAAGTATTTTAATTATTTTCTCGAAGTATCTGTATTTCAAATCAAACACTGATTTTCAAATAGGTACATGAATAATTCTTTTAAGCTTATACATTTTCTATTTTCTACGTAATTACGTGAAATAAAAATAAAAATTGAGGACATATATTTTTTTTAATATGAATTTTACTCAAGTGAAAATCAAATACTTTGGCAAAGAAAACAGGCGAGTATTCCGTCCAAGTTAACCAACAGTTCCGCCGTATTATAAATGATACTGTGTAAAATATATTATGTTGTATGTGATTACTTTTAGTGAGGCAGCGTCGTGGTAATCTTCACGGATAATTATTATTATTGATCAATAATAAAACTAAATTCGAATATCAACGAAAATAAAATTTTAAAAATGAATAATATCGTTACATGGAAAATACTCAAAACAACATATTATCATTGTTAAACTACTGCGCTAAATAATTTAAGTAAATCAACTCAATTGTATTAACAATCTTTTTCTTATATTATAAAATTAGCTATAATTAGGAAACATCGTTAGTAGTAAATGTTATCGTTACATTGAATTATTGGAAATTAATAATTTACTTGTGATGCTCACCTCTTTCCCCCTATTGCACTAATGATTAATCTTAATATTTCTATTTTTCTTAAAAAAATGAAGTTGGATCATTAATATGAATGACGCTCCTGCCCCTAGAACATATAACATACCTTATAGTACCGGAACAAAGATACACAAAAATACATAATAAATTATTTGAAGAATTTAAAATTTAGGTATACATTAAACAATTATCTCCTTGCCCATATAATAATATATTACATAAAATAGAATAAAATGATGAAAATATATTGGATACTGGGTATTATAATACGTGGACAAGTGGAGGATGTTCATGTTCAAAATATGAATTATATAGTTATATAGATAAAATGTAAGTGACCAAGACGTCAAGTAGGCACTTTTTATTAAAAACGTATGCCAATATTTTGGCACGGTGGCACCTATAATGATCTAAATAATGTTATGTGTTTTCCCGTGTCTTCTTGTGGTAGACAGCGTAGGTATATGCCTAAGATATATAATATTTTATATATTATGGTCATGCACGCGGTTTAAAATATACAAAAAAATTAAAAATACAACAGTCTACACGTTAAAATAATATAACACAATAATAAATAAATGTATCAAATAACACGTGTAAAATATCTAAAATGAGACTAAAAAATGTGACTAAATATAATTAAGAGTTTAAAGTGCAAGTTCCTAAAAAAAGAGGGGGTATTTAGAGGTAACACTGTAATAGTGAACCACACTGACATAAAATATAATATGAACCTAAAATCTACGTGTTATATATTTTTAATAAATAAATGTTTCAACGGCTTTTGAGTCGGTTATTAAAAATTGATGATAAATGTTATCATTTTTTCTTTTCAATAATTATATTGGAATACCCATACCATATTTTCCACGCAATTTTGAATAATAATAATGCACTGTACGCTATAATAATATTTTTTCTGGAAAATGTTTTATACTTTTGTGATTGATCAACGATTTTTTTTTCATTTTGTGTTCTACAAAATTGTTTGTCTATTGTAATAAAACTATACTTTTTCCATAATTTTCCTAAAATGAGATTCCTAAAAAAAAGTTTATAGGTTTAATAACAATATTTGAAATCAATTGCAGCTTGCAAGTTGCAAGTATAAAAATAAAACAGCCTCATTAAAAATTATTTATTACGAAAAATTAATATTATTTATAAAAAAGATATAAATAATTTCAAATTTAACTTGAATTTGGGACAAAAGTTATAAATCCAAGCATATAAATGTATTCTCTGTTATGTATTATATATAGATCACCAAATAATCAATAAATATAATTTCTACTAATCTAAAGCATAAAGCATAAAGCATAAAGCATATGTAAGCCTGTAAGCGTGCAACAAAACTTTTTTAATCATTTTTTTTATGCAAATATTTAGTATAAGATTAATACCGGCATAACATAAAAAAATATATACATCAAAATATGTAGAATTAGATTACTTACATAGCTGGTATTTTTATATATCAAAAAATCAAATATAAAACATATTATGTTTTTAAAATTATACCTAAGTTTTATCGTTTTCTCATTTACTTCATTCGAGAAATGTTTGTTTTTGTTAACATTTGTTGGAAATACAATTTCTTCTTTTTTCTCATGGTCGTTTTTATTTTTCCTCAAATCTAATATTTTACTATGAAATTGTACACTCTGCTTAAAAAACAATTTTATCCTTGATTTTAGTAAAAATATTTAAAATTTATTATTCTTTTTGAACATAATTTAGTTTATATACATAGTACTATGATATATACCAATTGCATTCATGTTTCATATGATTATTAATTATGTACCTTTGAAACCAAATAACTTTTGGATGGTATTTGTATTGATTTGCCTGTTATGTATTGCTTGTGGTCAGAATATTTTTTCCAAATCTGAAAATATTTCTTCAATATGTTCTTTCTATAGTAATTAACTGCCGTTCTTACTTTTCTATTAGTTTCCATAATGGTTTACTTTACAAAATACGTCTTCATAATCTTACCATTACCTCTTGGTTAATATAATTAATTTTTTTCCAATTGTTATTATAACTTTAGGTTTTTTTTTAAATCTAGTAAAAATGTATTTGTTGATTTTTGTCCTCAAATTTTATATGACGATTATATTACCAAGTAACGCTAATAACAAGAAAAAACAATGTTTCGAAATTATCAGTAAGGTGACCATAAATGTTTTAGAATCTGAATTTATACCAAAACGGTATAGAACTTAAAAATTATCTCGTAGACGGACAATATCGGATGTGTTGGAGCTAAAGGATGATGTCGCAGAATGATTATTTATATAATACAATAAATAATTATCATTTGGACTTCTGCTCCATTACTAATTTAAAACTTGTTATTATTCTCCCGCTGTCCGGAAAAATATTGATAATAATTCAACAATTAATACATTTAGCCACCAGAATATTAGCAGCGATAATAATAGCATGAGTTCCAATGATCAAGATTCAAATTTATTAAAACTATTAGATATTTTTAAAACCCTCAGTAATACTGCAGGTATGTCGGTGGCGTTTCCAAATTTGTAATTTGCTTACAAAGGTATTTACCCTTTACCTCCAACATCAACAAGTGCTGAAAGGTGTTATATAAAAATATAAATAAATATAATGTGTATTTGAATATTTAAAATTCATCAAACTTATAAATAAAAGCTTGCAATTATAATAAATATATGTATATTTTTTTTTAAAGTAATTAAAGCTTCAATATAAGTAAAAGAGTAGGTACATACTTTTTATTTTTATTTGATTCATTACTAAATACAATGTATGTATATATTTCATTATTTTATTAATAAGAAGATAAGTAAAAAAATTGTTACACAATCTTTGTGTACAGTTAATATTAAAAGTGTAAACAACTAAACTGAAGCATAGATTAAATATGTACCATACTAGTATATTTAATCTATGACTGAAGTTAGTAAATATAATTAGGTACCTATAAAAAACCTTAAAGTATATATATTTATTTGTTATTTAGGGGTGAAGGGATGTCTATATATTGTCTTGCACCACTAAGTACAATACGTTCAAACAATCAAACCACCTTTGCTTTTTACTATAAAATACTGTGACTGTGACTACATATGTTTTCGTATATTTTATGTATTTTATGAACAATTAAATAAAGTTAAAGAAGTAAAGTTTAATAAAAGCTTAGATTAAATACATTAAAAAAAATGTAATTTATTTTACTAATCGGTAATATTTCTATTTTTGTTAAGTATACCTAATGTTAGCTCTTATGACTCAGTTTACTTGTAACAAAGTTTTTCGAGGACTCAAGATATAAATCAACACTTGGCAAAACTTAACCGTCGAAGTTTTAATTTGAAAATATTAGCATTACATCAGATGATTGTCCTGCTCTGTAATGAACCATTAAATGTAACGAAATACGAATGTACCATTGTACATTTGACATTAGTACCTACGAATCTACATTTTTTAATAGGTATATTCATTTACATTTTTTACATTTTTTTTAGTGAATTTAATTAAGCTTTGTCATATTATTAGTGAATTAAATCCTATTTTTAGGGCATTTTTCTCGTTTTTTAAAGTATTTAAATCCGTTCCCTAGCTTTAGCAATATTACCATGGAATTTATTTCAAATTTAGGACGAAATTAAAGTGACAACTGAGCACCTAGATCGCGTTAGTGTATGGCAGCGCCTTGTTCTGTTCAATCATGTTCAATGATATTGTGAATTTGTGAATCGTACAACCGCCACATATCTATTTTTGATAACATAAATCATGACGTTACTTAAATAATAATAGATATTAGATGATAAGCATTAAACAATATTTGTGAGTTTCTGACTTTTCAAGTCTAATTGGTCTGTCTAGTCAACCTCAATCATCTATACTGTTTTTGTTCGCTACGGACCTACGGTGCAATTGTTCAATATTTTATTAATTTACTTATAATTTTTTTTTGTTCTAGTTTTAACTTTTTCTTCAAATAAAATAGAAAACTGATATTTTTCTTTTTTACTTAAAATTTATTAAAATTTCTACAAATGGATAGTAATGATGTTATTGAAGAAGATCAACTTGAACCTTCTCTACAAAACGTAATCAGTCAGAGTAGTTTAAAATGGATTTTTGTCGGTGGAAAAGGAGGTGTTGGTAAAACCACTTGCAGGTAAACATCGCATAGTACAGTGCATCGAAGCATAGCTCATTTTACTCATTGTAAAATGTATTAATGCTTTTACCAAAACTATCGATTAATTTATATATGATAATTTCAGTTGTAGTTTGGCTATTCAATTAGCTAAAGTTCGTGAATCAGTACTTTTATTATCAACTGATCCAGCACACAACATATCTGATGCTTTTGGACAACGATTCACCAAAGCACCTACTAAAGTTGACGGTTTCAATAATTTATTTGCTATGGTAAGCATTTTAGAATGTAAGATTCATACCCTAAAAAATATCTAACTGATATTAACTGAATAATTACTGAAAATGTATAGTGTAAATTTATTGCCTACTTAGGAAGTAGACCCTGATGTCCACAGCGAAAACGAAAATTTACTTGGAAGTGAAGATGAATCCGATACAATGCGATTAGGTAAAAGTATTATACAAGACATTATTGGAGCATTTCCAGGTATTGATGAGTCAATGAGTTATGCTCAAGTGATGAAGTTAGTGCATACAAATATTTAATATAATAATTATAAGTTTAAATATACCATTTTATCTTACTTTCAATAATTATGCTTGAGGTCTAAATGTTATTGCTATAATGTACCTAAATATTTCAACAGCACATTAAATAAAACACATTGGGGGCTATAAGCTTATCAAGCTTTATTGCTGATGACTGAATATCTACAGGAAACAGGAAATAATATTATAGCACAATTTTGTTATAATTGTGTGTTTTTTTGAATAATCAATTAATATAGCATTGGTTACACAAATGTTTTGATTAATTTAATGATGCATGGATAGACCATGCAATTTGTGTTCAATGTGATATGCACATTTATTCATCAGGCAAATAATCACAAAAAATTCTGAAATACCTATGCTAAATAAATTCATTAAAAATAAACTTAAAATATGAAAAAAAAAATATATATATGCACTCCCAAAATACATAATATATATTTATGAATTCAGTTATGATATAAATATATTTCCAAATGATTTATCTAAATATTTAAAATTGTGAGAATACTTACATAAAGTGTTGTTTTGAAACCATTATTGTATCTGTTCTGCGAGGTAATGGTTTAACAATTTAAATAAAACGAAAAAGTCACATAAACTAATCAATAACATAGAATATTAACTAAAAATATATTTTTTATCATAATTTTTCGAAATTACGAAATATGCCATAAAAAATAAACATTTTTGAAATGTGCAATATAAAAGTTTCATTATTTTCAATCACACCACTAACAAATTGTATGCTTACTTATCATTCGGTTAACATGAGCAAACATATAATTATATACAATTAATATATATATTCATTAACTATGGAGTTAGCAAAAACTTATCTAAACTACTTTTTATCCATTTTTTTTACAAAAATTGATTATGATCAGAATAGGTTTTTTGATTACTATATTTGTTACATGCAAATTAAAAATATCTTATTTTTTAATTGTATTGTATGTTTGTACATTATAGCGATGGTTTATTATCAAGACAACATTACCTATATATTTGTATAATTTTAGGTTGGTTAAGAGTATGAACTTTTCAGTTGTCGTATTTGACACAGCTCCTACTGGGCATACGTTGAGACTATTGACATTTCCTTTAATGATGGAAAAAGCAATAGGAAAAATATTGGAATTGAAAAATAGAATAGGTCCTTACCTAAATCAAATGAGTATGCTTTTTGGAGCTGGTATTAATGTAGATGATATTTCACAAAAACTTGAAGAAATGTTGGCAACCATTAAGACAGTTAATCAACAGTTCAAAAATCCTGTAAGTATTCACAAACTATTTTTAAAATAGTCAAAATGGATTTGAAACTATTTTGTTTCAGGATCAAACCACATTTGTTTGTGTATGCATTGCTGAATTTTTATCATTGTATGAAACGGAGAGACTTATTCAAGAATTAACCAAAAATGAAATCGACACCCATAATATTATTGTTAATCAATTGTACATTAACAATGGAGATTCCAATCCCAGTTGTAAAAAGTGTTCTTCCAGGCGGGCGTTACAGCGCATCTATCTAGAACAGGTTAGTTGATTATATAATAATTACAGTACGTTTATTAACTGTAATTTTACTATCTTCTGTTTTAGATAAATGATTTGTATCTTGATTTTCATGTTACTAAGCTTCCATTGTTAGAAAAGGAAGTACGTGGTGTTGCTGATATATCAGAGTTTTCCAAATATTTATTGGATCCAAATTATGCTTTTAACAAAAACAAATAAAAAACCGTGTTTATTTTTTTTTGTTTAGCTTAAACAACATTTGTTCTTAATTATAATATATACATCCAAAAACAGATGCTTTTATTTGTTAATATCGATATTGTAGTCTGAATGTTTTAACTTTATTTGAAGTTAACTTGTAATAAAAGATAATGAATGATTACAATTCATTATAATTAATTCAATTGATTATTAAACAATAAATAATAATACATTGTTAAATTTAAATTATTTGCAATAAAAGTACACTTATTATTATATTATATCTTATAATTTATATATTCCTACCCAATTATAATTATTTATTACCTTGCATTATATGAACCATTTTAATTAAAAATTCTTTAATAATGTGATACTTAAAATGTTATTTTAATTATAGTGACTTTAATCTTATTAAATTAAATGCATGTACATTACATTTTTTCTCGTAATGAATAATTTATTTATTGATATAATGAAAATGTTTAAAAATATTGTTGATTCACGGTATTAGAAGTTTATGCCTTATTATATTTTAAATACAATTATTTTTTTACGAACATTTAAAAAATGTCTAATTATGTTTAATCTTTAGTGAAACTAAATATATAATTAAGTACTTTGAACACAAATTTTAAAATGCATTATTTAGATATTAACTATATTTCTCATAAATAATAATGTAATTCAACACATATTTTATACAAATGAATACATCAATTGAAACTTATTCATTAACTTTAGCAAAGGGTAGTTTATCTTTAATTAATTAAACCTTTAATAGGAGTGACTAGTGAAAATGCTTATATTTTTTATTATGTTAGACTAAGTTAGTTATAAGCATTATTATTTAAGCTTAGATAGTTAATTTATGAGTTTTATCACACTTATAAATCATGTCATCTATTATCACTAAAATCGGCAAATATTACAGAGAAATAAATGCATCGTATTCATTACGTATTTTTGTCAAGTGAATAAATGGTTTATTATTATTGTTTTGAATTAAATCTGGTTCAATCTACACCACAAATTAAGATATATTTATGTATGCATATATCATATATGGATATATGCCTAGACATCTGATAACATATCGTAACTATCTTAATAGGATGCTACCGATGTAAATGTTGCCTCCGTCTTACACACTTAAGACAGAAATTTTTCGTTCACTAGTTTCAATAGCGTACTATTAGTTTTGATGTGGAAATTTTAAAGAAAAAAAATTCCAAATTATTTTCAGTATTTTCAATACTGGATGCCCTAATAGCTTGAAAATACTCATTTTACAAAGAAAAGATAGACCAAATTTTTGAAAGTCAATTTGGTCCTTTTTACCATAGCTCTAAAATCAAAATTGACTAAATGACGACGAGTTAGTTTCGATTTAAATTATTGAATTTTTCAACAATCATATACTAGAATTTTATGAATATTATAATTGATGCTAATTAATTTCTCAAAATTAAATTTAAATGATTTACCTAATAATGTCTGCAGGCCTACCCGTACAAAAAAAATACTTGAAATTTCATAATAACTCATACAATTCTAGTATGATTGTTGAAAAATTTAATAATTTTAATCGAAACTTTAACTCGTTGTCATTTAGTCAATTTTGAGTTTAGAGGTATGGTAAAAAGGACCAAATTGACTTAAAAAAATTCGGTCTATCTGAATTTGGTGTTCAAAACAACTGTTGCCGTTTTAAAAATGCAAGTTGTATTGCGCATGCACACACCGAAAGATCTAAAAATGTAAAAATCATCTAGAAATGTGTATTTATGTATTCTTTATCTCCTCCCGAAAACCGCTTATATCAATCTGATGTCACTGGACAGAATTATTTAGTGTGACCTTTAAAAAGAAACACACTGTATACTCATTGCTATTCTAGGTAATTACTAATTACCTATTCAGTGGCATATTAGTCGTCACCGTAGATAATATAAGAATTATATTATTGCTATGTACTGACGTCCCGCCATATACGCATATATTTTAAAGGCTTAAATAGCGAGGGGGACATATTGACATAATATGAGAATATTCACATTAGGAAGTTGTCGACCTCGGGGATTTAAGAACAACGACGCAATAAGAAATCGGGTGCGTAGTTCTGAGAATCCAACTACCGAAAGTGCGTTGCGAAAATATAAATGAAAAGAGTTAAAACGTGAAACATCTATAAAAATGTTAAAATATAATATTACAATACCTTTACTCTAATCTCTCGACCGACACGACCGGGCGACCGTTTCCTGGAAACCCACGACCACGCACACGTGCAATAGTAAACGGGGTTAGCGCTATCTCATCGCTAGGAGAAGAGTGGAGAGTAGGCCTATAAAACAGGGACCCATCCACCCGATATTCAGACGTGATTTACCAGAGCCAGTACGAGCACCTTCACGCCAGTCGACTCTCTGACAAATTTCAGTGTACCAAAAATATTCTATCAGTTTTACATGTTAAAATAAAGTCTATGTTCATAATATTCTACAATTGACTTAGAATTATTTACACCTCGTCATCTCTTGTCTTATACACCACGATCTGTGGGCTGGACCACTACATTATCTATGGTCGTCTCACTCGTCACTCGTTTGTCGTTGGACTAAATTTTAGGGATTGGACAAATTTCCAACCACGGAGGAGAGGGGGTGGCTTCGTTTTATACCTAATAATGCTTTTGAATATTATATAACTTCAAACTTGAATATATCAACTTACAAGATACCTAGACTGTCTATACTCTATCTGATCCAAATTTAGGTAGGTACATAAAATAATCTATTCGGTTAATTGAATATTACAATTTATATATTATGTTAAAGATCCCATAGCAAATTGTTGACTTTAATGGTTTATCATATTGTTAAAAATAATAGTAATACTAAATTAAACTTCTTTTTTTTATTTTTTTTATTAAAATAAAGTTTTACTGACATAATATGTCATCTTAACTTAATGTTGATTAGATACATTTTTTTTTTTAACATTTGGAAAAAAATATAACAATTAGTAATAATTGGAAAAATTATTAGTAAAAATAGAAACTATCTACTACGTTTTAAAGTATTTACAAATCGGAAGAAAAAAAAAATAATATAATAATAAATAATAGTTATAACAACAGGTCGTGTGGGCGTCCACGCTTGAGTCGGCGTACAGAAGGTGGATCACTTAGTTTATAAAATTTCGCACTGTGAGCAGAATTGATGTGATCGAAGAAGTTGATTGTTAATTTTTTTATGTACTCTGTTATTGTGGGTAGCTGAAAATCTTTGTGAAGTGCATCATTTCGTACAAATCCTGGAGCATTAGAAATGGTTCTCAGAACTTTTGATTGGAAAACTTGTATTTTGTGGATGTGGGTTTTTGCACAATTTCCCCACACAGGGACTGCGTATAGAAGTAATGGTCGTAGAATTTGTTTATATAATAAAAGAGAACATCTCCAGCTTAATGCAGTTTGTCGGTTGATCAATGGGTATAGTATTTTTAGCCTCTGGTATCCTTGTTGTAGTTTGAAGGTGATATGTGGATTCCAAGTTAATTTTCTGTCCAGAACTACACCTAGGTAGGTATTTTATATTAGGTGACCAAGAAATATTATTACCGTACAAATTCAAGTTACCAGGAATTTTCGGGCGTCGGTTGGAGAAGAGTACCGCAGTACTCTTATGAGGGTTTAATATAATTTTCCATTTATCTCCCCATTTTTGAATTTCATTCAGGTGGGCTTGAATATTTTGGGTTATTGTTTCGGTGTCTTTGGCGCTTGAGTATATAGCACTGTCATCAGCGTATAGTGCTACTTCAGTATTATTTGTTGTAGGGAAGTCCGAAACGTGTAAGTTAAAAAGTAAAGGTGAAATGTTTGAACCTTGTGGTACTCCTGCGTTAATTTGTTTTGTTACCGATGTGGTATCGTTGATTCGAACTTTAAAGCAGCGATCGGAGAGGTAGGATTTAATTAGATTATATATTGCAGTTGGAGTGTTTAATGTTTTTAATTTATATAAAAGTCTGTCGTGCCAGACCCGATCAAAGGCCTGGGCTATGTCTAAGAAGGCTGCCCCTGTATGTAGTTTTTTTTCAAATCCATCATTTATATGCTCCGTTAGTCGCAGAAGTTGTTGAGCAGTGGAGTGGTTTGATTTGAATCCAAATTGGAAATGAGGGATAGCATTTATTGCATTTAAGTAATTAGTAAGCCTTAAGTGAATAATTTTTTCAAATATTTTTGAAACTGAGGACAGTAGGCTTATAGGTCTGTAATTGCTGGGATTAGAATTATCTTTACCTGGTTTTTTTTAACAGTATTATTGTGGCCAATTTCCATTCTGTAGGAAGGTATCCAATTTTTATTAGGGAACCAATTGAATAAGATGGATAAATATGTTATCGCTTTTCTGGGAATATTTTTTAGGATAGTATTAGTGATTAAATCGTGTCCGGGTGATTTTCTTTTTGGTAATTTTTTGATTATATTTAAGATTTCGTTAGGGCTTGAGTATGGTAAAATATTTTGTGGTAGAATATCAGGCTCAATTAAACTTCTAATGATACCTAATTGGTGAATTTAATTTATTATACGAAAAAAATGTGTAGAAACGAGGGGCCCACTGACAAACATTGACGAGATCCTACACGGAAAATCCCATTTCTCTATAGGTGCATAGTGTCTATACCAGCGGTTCCCAAACTTTTACGACCACGGCACCCTTAAAAAATTGTTTGTGTTTCGCGGAACCCTAATGTCTAATCCAACCCAACCACAATTTTTGTAAATTAAAAAAGGAAAATCAATTCCTTAAACTCTCAAGTCCAAATAATATTTTAATGATACTGTTAATGACTTTTCATTATTAAACTTAGTTTAAAAAAAAATTTTCAATCAAACATTTTTTAAACAACAAACATTAAATAAACATAATTTTCTCAATAATCTCATACATCTAACGGAACCCTAAGGTTCCGCGGAACACACTTTGGGAAACGCTGGTCTTTACAACCCTGCCTGCCTACCTAACCTGAACAACTAATTTGTGATTTTAATATTTATTTAATTCATATCCCATTATATTAATGATTAATGAAGTCCAATGAACAAGTCAATAGTAAATAATGTCCAATGAACTTTTAAAGTTCGTGGTTACGATCTTACGACTTACAATTTACAAACCGATAACAATAAAATAATTATATTCTGTCCTTGCGGCTGATAATATTTAAAATATTTGGCGGGGTAGCATAATATTTTTTTATCTCTGTAGATAACGTATTGATAAATTAAGTGATAAGTTAATTTAAAGTTGTGCATTTCTTCATAGTTCATAGATTTTTTATATTGTAGTAGACTGTAGACTATAGGTAGTCCGTGGTAATGCTGAAATGGGTTATGGCGAAAATAAATTAGAAGAGCTAGATAGATAACTGTCAACTGATTTAGTCTCAATGAAAAATCTATTTTGAAAACTATGTCATAAATTACCCAAGTTCTTAAGAAATTTTGCATAACACTGACAACTTTCTTTAATTTCTGCTATTAAGTTTAAATCTTAAGAAATGTTTCATAAATTTCAATCCACTTCACTTTTGTTATTTGGATCGAATTTTAAAATGTTAAAATGTAATGCTTCGTCATTGGATGGTAAAATGATGAACAAAGTTATGGGTCTCAGTCAGAAAACCAAGTAAGTAGGATGGACGTCATCCAAATAATATCTTGAAAAAAGTATACAATATAAGTTTAATGACTGGTTTTAATATTATTATTCAGAAAGGTTTGGTACAAACCGAATGTTGGAGCAAATCCTACTTTTGAAGAACTTATGAAACAAACAACAAAAAACAATGCTGGACGACAGACAAGCAAGCGTTTAGTTGTTCTAAATAAGTTATTAATGAAGAATATAACTGATTTAATGGCAACAGGTGAAAACTCTGATAAACTCGTTGGATATGGTCTAGAAATTTCAAAGGTATAAATCATTATTTATTTTATTAACTTTTTATCATGCAAGGTAATTTATTTAGCGTGCTTTAATCAAGTCTCTGTTAATTTTTGTGTTTTTAAAAAACATGGTAAATTTTCGATGTTAAATTTCTATAAAAACAAATCTAATGTATTACTGTACAAAATCATATTGATTTTTTCAAATGTCAAACTGTGTTTTTAATTTCATATTCAGAAACACAATTGTTCTAATATTTATAAACAATATAAAAGAAAGTAAAGCGTAAGAAATAGTAATTAAATAGATTTGCTTGTAATAATTTACCAACATAAGTACTTAAGTCTACATTTTACATTTATGTATAAATATTTTTAAATTGTATTTCATTAATTGCCTGAGAAAATGAGGGTAGTTACTTCAGCCTAAAATGTTTTATGTTTTTACTGCAGGTTTGTATTGCAGGAGATTATAGATCTGTCAATGTATATTGGATGGCTGGAAAAGCTGAAGATGATTCCCTATTAGAAAAACTATTGCAGATGATAAGCGGTCCACTAAGACATGAATTATCTATATTAAGAATCATGGGTGAAATTCCAAAAATACAGTTTATTAAAGGTAAATGTGAACAATTAAATTATTACTAGTCTAGTATGCTACTTTATAAGCTTCATGCCTCATGGTGAACTAGTAATAGAAATTATTCTTAATATTAACTAACAATTTTTCTATTTAAGATAAGACTTATGCAAACATAGCAGCAGTTGATCGGTTATTAAGTAAAGCAGATTTTGGTGAAGATTTTGTTCCTACATGCAATGTTTTATTAAACAATCACCCTACAATCTATACCAGTATTGATCCAGAGATCAAAGTAATTAATTAATAAATATTTCTACTAATAATTACTAATAGTATTATAAATAATTGATGTTAATTAATTTCAGGAAAAAATTAAAGAATTAGAGGACAAAGAAAATCTAAAAGAAGAAAGTAACGATGAAATTATAATTCCAGAAATGAAGATGGATGTAATGGGTCTTGATCATAGTGCAATAATGGCCAGAGTAAGATATTTATTTTAACTTATTATGTAGGTTGATTAGAAAAATAATAGTGTGGCCAAGGTGATAAGGTGTTAGGGCTGGAACTCGATTGAGCATGTAATCAAACAATAGGAACCCAAAAAACAACTGAATTAATCACGGAAAAAGGTGCGAAATTGCCACTTTGAATCGTAGAGTATTATTATTAAAAAATAAAATATATTTGAACATTTGATAAATATTTATAAATAAAAATCCCAGTACTATTTTTTTCTCTACCCTATAACCTGTACTTGAAAGCTCCAACATTTGCCTCCCTCGGATAAAATAATTTGTATTTCGTTATATTCTATTATGAATATCGTGAAATTCGCAAAAAAATACACACAAGAACAAGACCACATAACAGGCTGACTGTGACCAAGTTAAAATTACAGCTTAGTTACATACAATAAGAGCTAACCACAATTTTGTGTAATCGTTGTAGATACAATTCCGGTTTCCTATCTATCTCAGTTATTTTCAACTTGTATGCGTACCCATAGATTAATACCAAAATCTTTTTCAACCAATATGACGTTAGTTACCTATTAGTAATCTACAAAACATATGTACTTGTGAAAATCTTACGTTGTGCACAATATTTATTTTCTTTATCTTGCTCAATCTGGTGGTCAATAATTGTTGGCTGATAACAACCGTGCTCAATCAGGTATCACTGGGTGTTAGGGTCTTTAAGTCATGCTACTGATTCAAACTCAGTACCAGTCGCTTTGTAGAACAAAAGGCATCTAGAAACCGCTCTATTTATTCACCTCTAAAGACACAACACTACAAGAGTTAATTTTTTAGACAAATAACTATCGTAAAATGAACCTAATGATTGAAAAAAGCTGATCAGAATTAAATATCTTGAAGGATTTTTTTCATGTTCTATATTTAAAAAAGATAATTATTTTTTGCTGATTTTATTACTTATTTTTTAGTTGAACGTGGCCATCCTTAAGTCAAAAGCTGCTCATCGTCAACCTTCTGCTGTACATAATGTTATGAAAAATACTGTAACAGAACACACAGAAGAAACTCAATATTTGTCATTTACTGATTTTGTAAAAAAAAGGAAAATTCAAGAAGCCAAATCTTTGGGTAGAAGGAGGAGTAGGTCGATTGAGAAAGAAATGTATGATAAAGATGTCTTGTCGAGTTATGAAGAAGAAGAAGAAGATGATAAAATTGACGAATATCCATTTAAAATTTAAATTAATATACCAATTTTGTTTTAGTATTTCTTGTATTTGGTCCAATGTATCAATCCCATTTTTATTTAGTTTCCTATAAATTATTTTATCTATACTTAAGGAATTGTTAAAATAACCAAAAATAATGTATATGTTTGAAGAATAAATCATAAAAGTAAAATATGATATAGATTATAGACAACTTATTATAACAAAATAATCAGTTTATTCATCCGACACAGTTTTAATTATGATAATAGTTAAGTTCAAATATAACACAAAGCTATACCTTGTGCCTATATTAAAAGTGTTGCTTTTGCAGAAATTAATTTTATTCTAAATACACAAATCTTTGGATTCCAAGACCAATGCACAAAACAATTTAAATATATTACGTGTATGGACATTTTATCACATAAATTTGTAGTATTCAAATTGTATGACACATGCAACATTTCACAGAGTAAAGTCAAAAGTAAAAAATATAAACACAATAAAATACATTATAATACAATTTATAATTTACAAAATATAACTTAAAAAAATATATATATCATATAATAAATAATACATTTTTATTTTTAGTCAATTATAAAAAAATAGGGGTTTGTATATAAAATGTTTGGATACTACTTGAGTTATCATTTTGTAAGTTAAGTTATAAATCACTATTCATAAGTACTTGATAATTATGACGTTGATGAACATTAGGCACAATGTCAACCAACCACTCTTTGTCAATTACAGTTATATATTTCATATATGGTTGACTAGTCTCTATGATTTCTGTATATAGCACACAATGAGGATATGAATGAAAAAGTGTTGAAGTTGGATGGATTTTGCACTCTTTCTTAGCATTAACTGTTACATACTTTTTTTCCTGATTGATATATGCTAGATTTTCAAAAAATCCCGTCAACAGACATTTTCTGATAGGGTCGAAATTGTCTCCACAAGATTGGCCAATAGGTAAATGTAAATACCTACAGATATCAAGCAACTGTTCTCGAGCACGATCAGCGTATTCTAAATTACGGACATTGAGAAAATTATCGTCACACCAACTGGACTTAGAATCTTTTCTTATTTTCCTATAAGCACGGAATGTTTTTAACAACATGATATGGTCACTGACAGATGACTTGAATTTTGTATGAGCATCCTCGGCTTGTTTCTTTTTTTTCTCCGAAAGACTAGACACAAAAATAGAATCAGTAGATAATATAGATACAATATTTACAATGTCTTCCATACAACCATAGTTCACTGATGTCAATATTATTTTTGAGTACCTTGGGTCTAGGGGAAATTTAGTCATTTTATGACCCAATTCAGTTAAAATACTGTTTTTTGTTGCACCTAAATTTCCTAACATTTTGTAAGCTTGGTCAATTGCCTCTGTCGATGGCTTATTAATGAAATCAAATTTATAAGGATCCATATTCATGGCCAATATTTGTAATACTACATTACCCAAATTACACCTCAAGATTTCTGGTACAGGGTCTTTGGTCATTTCATCATATTGCTTTTTAGAATATATCCTGTAACAATATCCATCAGATTCACGACCTGCACGACCTGCTCTTTGTTCAGCTTGAGCTTGAGAGATATTTTCTACTTTAAGAGCATCCATCGAAGTTTCTGGATGAAAACATCGAACTTTAACTTTGCCACAGTCAATCACATATTTAATACCAGTCAAAGTAACTGATGTTTCTGCAATATTTGTACTCAATATGATTTTTCGGGCAAACTCATTGGGTTCCAATGACATGAATACTTTGAGTTGCTCATTGGTAGGCAACGAAGCATATAATGTTCGTACTTTTATAACAGGATAATTTCTTAGAGAAGGATCTTGATTAATGTGCTCAATTGCAAGAGCCATATTTTCTATTTCTTCTTGACCAGTTAGAAAAACTAAAAAGTCATGGCGTTCGGGTGCTTCTTTATGTAATTGGAATATTGTAACAAAAGTATCATGGAAGTAATCTTCTACATTTTTCTTAGCATGGAATATTTTGATGTCATGAAGCCTACCTTGTAAATAGACAATCTGTGCATTGCCAAAATAATCTGCAAACAAATCAGCATTCATTGTTGCTGACATCACAATTACTTTAAGAGGATTAGAACTATGTTTACGACTGCGTTGGACTTTTTTTACAATTCCAAAAAGTAAATCTGTATTGACTGTACGTTCATGAGCTTCATCTAAAATTACGCATCCATATGCCGATAAGCTCTTTTCTAATATAGCAGTTCTTAATAGCATACCATCAGTCATAAACTTTATTTTAGTAAAGTGATTAGTTTTGTCAATAAACCTGACTCTGTATCCAACCAGGTCTCCAATTTCAGTGTTTACTTCATATGATACACGTTCAGCTAAAGATATGGCTGCTACACGTCTAGGCTGTGTAACAACTACATCTTCATCCGGGCGTAATATGTTTTCGTAAACAATTTGTGGAATTTGAGTTGTTTTGCCACTTCCAGTTTCTCCGATGATGATTAAGGTTTCATTTTTTTGAATTAAACTACAAAGTTTATCTTTTTGAAGAGTAACAGGCAGGGACTTTCTTTCATCGTCAAAATACTTGACTAAATCCATTTTACTTAAGTCATTCATTATTAATGTTCTGTGGCCTATAATTTAAATATTTTACATCATTAGTAGAGAATTCTAAACTATAATATATTACTTTAATAGCAGTGTTTGGAAAGAATCCATTCATTGGGTGAATTTCAAATAATTTTTAGTTTAAGAATGCAGTACAATACTCATATTTTATGAGATATTACAAACTATTTTCAAGCTATTCAAATTAATTTCATTTTTAGTATTTTTATGTAATGAATTGAACATAGAAATTAAAAATAGGTACTTCAAATATGAACTGAAAATGGACAAGTTCAATTTTTAAAGGTTTTTAAATTTAACATTTTTATGCTTCACTTCAATTAAGAATGTTTCAAAATCCGATTTCTTTTCGTAAAGTATTGAAACTAGACTGTGTAAAAGGTACATTTTGTCTCATGTCTGCAAATTCTGATTCATTTCTTTTAATGAACTTGAAAGTATTCATTTGGATAAACTATGAACATGGGAGACGAGTTCAGATTTTAAGTGAACTTTCTAAACACTGCTGTTATATTTGGCGAATTTTATTTAAAAAACAAAACATAGGTACCTACTTTAAATTACAGTTGAATTCTGAACTGAGAGCGTAAAAATCTCAAATAGATGTCAATACAGCATGCACATCATCGCACTTAGTGACTTGACACAAACCACTTTAAATTTTAAAATTTAAAACTTGAATGTTAAATCACAATATTTCAGTCTTAACGTTATATAAAATAGAGTACCTATAATATTATATATTATTAGGGACAGTTATAGCCATACACAAATAAAATTCACGTGTTTTTAATTATCAAAAGTGATATGATAACTGATAACATGTACAATCACAGATATTTATTTATGTTCGATGTTTATGTGATAATATAATTCACAATCAGGCATTCGTGAATCGTGTCCAAAAGTTAAATAAATAATTGACTTAAATAAATTATAATATTATTGTTACCAGTTAATAAAAATTAAAATTAAAAATATTCCAACACTAAATTCATAAGTTAACCATAGATAAAAGAACTTCATAGTATTACTACCACAAGTAAACTCTTTCCTGTTTAGTGTCAATGTTTTTTTTTATGTTGATATTTACGAATTCACGGTTTTGCTGTTAAATATTAACTACCTATCATTATTAAGACCAGTTCGCAGTTAAAATAAATGTACGTTGTATTTGCATGTATAATTATTTATTTTTAACTTTTTATTCAGTACTTTGTAATTAAATAAATGTTTAGGAAAATGAGTGCATCCAGATTAGAAATAGATATCAGAAGACTCTTGTCAGTTTGTGAAGAAATGGCTCAAAATAATTCATCTGATGATTGGCGGCTAAGCAAAGTAGACAAATTTATTTAGATAACAATATTATTAGGTTTTAAATTGCTTAGTATATTAGATGAATGCAATTGGGTCTAATGAATGTTATTAGTTAACTATTACCATTTTAATAAATGTAACAAGATCTGTAGTTACCGCTTGTCTAAAAATGATTTGTATATTTTCATTATTATTAATAACTTTGTGTTTTAGTTTATAGAAGCTGTCAGTGAAATGATTGCAGAATTAATTAAAAAAAGGTAAACAAAATCTGAATTAGAAATTTAATCAAATAGCTTATAATTTGATAAATAGAGTAAAATGAAGACCTGACAAATGAAATAACTTTAGTTCTAATCAATATTTTCAAATTTTTAATTTTATATAATATTTTAACTTTGAGTTACACATATTATATTGCATTTTTTATTTTGATTGTAAAATCATTTATTTCAGTCATAGTTTATTTTTTACAACTTTTGAAATCTCATTGTTTTTGGTAAGTAATGTTATCCGGTCATACAAAACATTTCAAGTAAAAAAATTACAAACTTTTTAAAAATATTTTAAGAGAATTTTGAATAAGCACTTTATAAAATAAATTTTTTTTTTAAAGTTATTTCTTTTCAAATAAATGAGTCTTTTAAAAAAAATTTGGACATTTTAAAAAATCAAAAAAAAAAATAAACAACTAGACTTCAATAAATGTTTTTACAATCAAAATTCATCAAAAAATCAGATTTACAAATTGGCTAATTTAAATTTTTCAAAAAAATGTTTAACTATATTTAAAACTTTTTATTTTCAGTATATACATTATACATATTAAAAAAAAAAAATGTATTTTATGTATGTACCTAATGCAGGGGTCAATAAATTATGTGTAAAAAAAAAAAATTAAAAACTATTGATTAAAACAAAAGTTATTACATTTGTTAGGTCTTCCTGTTACACCTTCTTTATTTATACGTTTACAATTTTTAAATTATTTTATTTATTTATTTTTGTTATGTATAGTGATCCAGACAAAGATACAATTAACCAGTACACAAAACGAATGGAATTCCTTAAAGGATTTCTGAATACCAAAGAAATTGTAATATATCGTTCTAAATTTTTAATTATATTCAAGAATATAAAATAAATAGTTTATGGTTGTATATAATTAAATTATAGGAAAATCCAGAAAAGAAATTAGTTGCCTTGGAAATGTTAGAACCTGTACAGGTGACTGAAAGCCGTTCAAAAGATATTAAGCAAAAGTATAAAGTTACATATATAAAGCAACTAAGAGATGAACTACTTGGAAGTAAATGCTTTTATTTTTTATGTAAATAATAAGATATGTAGGAAACAGTATGAAATTTAATTGTGTTTAGATGACACAAATGAATTCAGATCATCTAGGCAACCAGACGTAGAGAGTAGTGATAATTTGGATGAATTATTGAGACATCATCAAAATAAACAGGAATCTATTGCTGAAGAACTTATGGCGATTACTCGAGGTTTAAGAGAACATTCCGAACTTGCTGGAAAAATAATTAAAAAAGATATTGAAGTAATATACAATTTATGACAAAATGTTTGGATTGAGTTTAACTTCTTACTGTTTTGTATTAGATTTTAGAAAAATCATCAAAAGGTATGGATACTAATTTTGAAAATTTAAAAAGAGAAGAACAAAGATTAACAGAGTTTGTAAGAAAAAGCACTTGGAGGTGTTGGATATGGGTTTTAGCTGTTGCTATGGTTGCAATTTTCATAAGTATATACTTTATTATATTAAATAATAAGTAATAACTAAGTAAATTAATTGTTATTAAAATTTTGTTTTCAGAAATGATTTTATTCATCAAAGTGACAAAGAAAAGTTAATGAATTTGAATTTACTTTGCATCTTTAAATTATGTAATTTACATTATGTTTTTATTGGGTGTATTCCCACGTTATTTATTGTTAAAAAGAAATTCTTATTGATATAATATTGTGATATCACTGTTAATAAATGTATTGTTTCTATTGAATGGCTACTTATTAATTGGTCATCCTGAACTCCCAAGCAAATAAGGATTCAAACATGTACAATGTAGTTATCGTGCTTTCTAAGTAATCGACCTTTATAGTGATGATTGAACGTTTTTTTTAATGATCTTATGTTAGTTGTTTATGAGTTATAGATCATAACGGTGTTGATAGTAATGAATTTAAAAACATTTAATATGAATTCTCTGTGTGTGATTTTTTAATTGTTGTAAGTTTAATTAAAGAACAAAGTTTATCATACATAAACTAAAAAATGTCAAACATGGGCCAAGATATTTTTTAAATTATATCTTTGTTTGAAGAAAAATTACAGTAATTTATAAGTTAAATAAAATTTACCAAATTGATCTTATTGAAAGAAGAATTATTTAGCTGATTTTGTTTGGTGGAGGGGGGAGGGGTTTCCCGATTTTTTAAAAATGTACTGGACATTTTTTACTCCAAAAGTTTTAAGGCAATAAAGCAGCCAATGCGCTACCAGAAAAAAGCCCTCAAAGTTGAAAAATGAAGCATTTTTATTATTTCAAAAAGCGGATGATATGACAGCCGGGACAGGTTTATAAAAACATACTATTGTAAAAGTATATTGAAATTTCTCAGAAGCTATGAAGGTATATGGATAAATGAAGAAGTTTTAAAATAAAGTAATCAACCTAAGCATATGGTGGTTGTAGGTATCAAATATTAATGATTCATAAATGTATAAATATAAACGAGTATAATATACATACTAATTACTATTGCTACAATTTTGAATATAAATATAAACCATTTTATGCACTTAAAGAAAATGAAGGAAAGCCACAATGATATAAAACTATTGCAAATTGTTTTAGCCTCATCATTTAAAAGGGTATTTACCAACATTTTAGTTTATAGTTGTTACCTACATGTATCAATTGTGCCCCTTATATTTTATGATCAGTATTTTTTATACTCAATACACCAATTGTACTTGAATTCAAATTCTTTAACCTTCAGGACTCAGGTATAAAAATATCATTCTTCTTCTTCAATACTTCAATCTAATTCTAGCAACCCTTATATCTAAGTATTAAATCATAACTTTGATTGTAAATAATGTATGAACAAAAAGTAGGTAAGTATTTATTAAATATGAAAAATAAAACTATTTACATAATTTGAATATAAATTCTATAACCTGCCAATTTCCATTTGGATTTTACAACATCAAAACATATTTTTATAAAAAAAATATACTAAAATACATAGGTACCTAATAGAATAGGCGTGCGCACGGGTGTGATTTATAGGACTATATAGGCTATATAGCTACACCCGAGGCAGAGTATTTTTTTAGGTGGGTACAGGTACTTGGGTAAAAGCATAAACCTTATACTACTGTCTACTAGACAACTAGACAAGCAACGAATGCATGGAAAGCGTAACGACATAGATGTCGTTTTTTGTTTTCTCGATTACTCGTACTCATTGTAGTGAGAGGTAATATATAGTAGGGTAAGATATACGAAAGCCGGAATACAAATCCCTGGGGAAAAAAATTTTCCCTGTGAAAGTTCCGAAAAAAATTCCTCAGACTACAATGTAACTCACATGCAAGTTATTGAACTTTGTGTCAGGTTGATGAGTGGCAAAATAAATATGACAAATTATTTGGATTCGGTAAGCCGCAATTTTAGGACAATCTAATGATTAACATTTAACAGCGAGTTAACTATTGTTTGATAATTATTTTATTATTATTATTAGAATTTTTTTCTACTTTGAGTACCTTCATTAACTATTGTTTGATAATTATTTTTATTTTTATTTTATAATATTTTAAATATTTCATCTATATAAAGTAAAACTTGTAAAAACGCTTCCTAATAATATTTTATTTACATTATAGTCAAAATATTATAAGAAACGTGCCGGGCTGAATGAGACAAATTTGACATCGTCATATCAAACATTTTATTTTTATACTATATATTTCAGTATTTGGATGTTTATTGGATTGACATCGGGTATCCACGCGAGCGCGGCCGCATTCCCTGACAAGTCTATTCTAAGATGCGTTCTTAATCCTTCAGTCCATATAAACTTAAATAATAAAATAATATGGTACCTATTGAATCTCCACAGTCTAAATTCTAGGATCTGCCACCCTGCAATCTCGTACTCTACCCTCCCCATTTCTATATGTCCGACGTGCAACACCCACCTGCCAGACTACCCGATCAGACATAATTTAGGTATCGGATCCTGTATCTAATAGCAGATAATTCACTTGAGTCACTTGCAGATATTTGGTAGCCTGTGGTTGACTACCTACTTGACTTACATTGTTCCACGAATAATTTTATCCTGTTTTGTTTGGTGATAAGGATTTACTCCACAATTTGATTAAAATATGACTTGCTTGATTCAGTGCTCGTGAGGCGTGAGTGACTCATTGGTAAAATTCCTGGGAACCGGAAGGAGGGTGATCGGGAAGGTCACAAGGGAAAAGTATAAAATCTCCGATATCACGAGGCCAATGAGGTTTCCGCAGCCATAAGCTGTCCAATAAATCTTGATATGCGGCCCAGTTATTGTACAGTTGTGAAGAGGATGTGATCTGCTGTGTCCGCATGGGTCCTGGCGTCCAGCAGTATTGAAACCACGTACAGGGAATCCGTCCTATATGTAACTTTATAGTATCTACTAATTCTACTACCTATACCAATAATAGTTAGGCATACCGTATACGTAGTGTATCTATACCTGAATAGGCTGAATAACATCCATTAGCCATAGTTGCATGCCTGCATGGTAAGTGACCGAGTCTTGTGAAAAGATATATAGGTCACGTCTACTGCTGATTTTTCCAACTACATTTCTTCAGGTCAACCTGTAAATATAGAGCAACCTAAGGAGTCGTCTAGCCTATTGGGACGTACTCATGCGTAAAAACCGATTCAGAAAACACTGGAAAACAGCAGAATTTATAAAGTTCAATTTTTTTAATAAAACTGTGTTTTTACAATATTTATTACGTGCGTCCAAATTACGCGATACTGCGTTTATAGTAAGTATATAGGTATTAGATAGACTCAACGATAAATATCCAGGGCCTAACTATTATACTACATTACTACCTAGTACAGTAGTACCTACCGGCTACCTGTATATAAGTGTACCCCTGTATAATGTCAACTGGGAAGAGTTATTTTGGTCCAAATATATTCGAAAATAGGTACATACCTATTACCTCTAATGTGAATAATATTATTTCTAATTTTCAATATAGGTAGGTAAAGTACGTTGTACGTGTGGCTACGTTGGGATATTCAATTAATCCTATTGATTATATCGGAGAATGCGCTTAAGCTAGCTTATAATTATAACCATGAAATTATTATCCTATAGGTATATGGCCATTATTTATATCACAATAACACAATATTATTTTATAGCCTATAGTTACCTACCTACTATATCGCTACGAATGGACTATCCGTAGACACTCATAACTCATAAGTACCTATACCTACTCACAACTCACAAGTCACAACCAAAATATATATAATTATTTATGATTCATGATCCACATGACCATATGATAGTGATTTTAAAGCTTATAACATTATATGTAGGTAGATACTACCATTGATTATTAATTTATAAATATTATTATAACTTTTGCATTATACATTTACCTATATTATTTATCAATGGTATCAATGGTATTAATGGTGCAGTGGTATAGTCGTATAGTGGTATCCAGATCCATGCCTAGGGGGTGGCAAACGTTCTAACATTTTAAATGGCCCCTGGAGCGCCAATGAATGTTAGCACAGCACTGTTGGTATACCAATATTACAGGACTATACTCTGAAGCAGATATTTAGGGCATTTTATTGCTTTAACTAGTTGTTATTGTGACTTTATGAGTATTCCACTAATAGTAGGATCTGTGTATATTAATACATTAATATTATTGTATATGGAAAACGATTCGATTCGAAGACGGTCTATCAGCCATATTATTAAGTATATATTTTATGATATTGATGCTATTAAAGTGATTTATTTTACTATTAGTAACTATTTGTACACTCATTCAGTAGGTTGAATTAATTTTTGCCGAAAACATTGCATTTTATAATGTCATTGTGTGTACTTTTAAAATATAATAATATATACCTATTGCAAAAGTTTCAAGTGACAACTGACAAGAACTAGTGCCTATCCACAAATTGTGGTTTTAAATTAAGATAATATAACTAAAATCGTTATTCTTCGTGTAAATACCTAATTTGGTCTACAATTTAAATACAAATGTCTATACAAAATAACTGTGTTTATAATATATTTTTTTAAATATTTTTGGTTACAGTATGAAATACTTATGAGAAACCTTGTTTGAAATTTTCAATTCTTAAAAAATACAAAAATTAAACTAAAAATTATAATAATATAATATAATATAATATTATTATATGATTATTTTTTCAAATGCTGAAGATTTTGTTGAAATTTGTACTTCAATTGCTTATGTATATTTAATATTTTTGAACTGTTATTTTAACAACTTGTGTTTGATGGGGAAATTATCAATACATTTTCGAGCTTTTTGGCCCAGCGAATATTGTTTTATCGATATTAAATAGAAGAACATATTATGAAATCGAAAACTTTGAAAATGTCTATAAGTAGCTCAAAAAGAGTCAAAATCAAAATATATTTAAAATGTTATCATGTATAGTAGAGAATTATAAAATTCTTACCAAATGTTTGGCGAGAATGTCAAGTATCTACTGTTATATTATAATAAAATTTACTGGTAAATATCCAATTAGGTATGTCACATAATTTTATAAAATAACATTGTAATATAGTTAATGAGACTATAAATGTATAATTGTATAAAAAATAAAGTACATTGGAGTTAGTGTGAATATTATATTATACA